TTATATTATACTATATTATATTATATTATTTTATATTATATTATATTATATTATATTATATTATATTATATTATATTATATTATATTATATTATATTATGTTATATTATATTATATGATATGATATGATATGATATTATATTATGTTGTAATTTTAGCGGCCATGTGATCTCCAGGCGCTTGTGCAGACGCTTTGCCGACTACGGTGAGCTGTCGCCTCGGGGGAAGGGGTCGAGGCTCTTTGCTACGACTACAGCTAGGACGCGACTCCGACTGCTACGGCTCTACGGCTCCGGTCTAGAACTACTACGAGTTATGATACTGATAACAATAGTAATAGTAATAATGATAGTAGTGTTGATCGTCTGATAGTCATACGAGAAGCAATGCTCCGTGAGATTCTGTGGTCCTTTGTCATTCCAGCGGTCCGGCATCTGATCGTTGCACGCTGCCGGGCCGCACTCTAGAACGTCAGTGTTGGTTTGAGCCTCTTGGCGTGACTTCACGTTTGGCTCAGGGCAGAGCCCAGGCAAGAAGTTGCCACATTGAGCTGTGTTACTTGGAGCTTCCCTGAAACCGCGACGACCTCGGAGTACCAGGCATTCCTGGGAGTAACCCTGAGGGTTCTTTGTAGCATGCTAAGGCTTGCACTGTCGCCAGGATGGCAGGATACCTAAACCCTAAACCCTAAACTCTAAACTCTAAACAAAACCCTAAACCCTAAACCCTAAACTCTAAGCCCTAAACCCTAGGGGGCCCCTTTTGTGCGAAGAGATGCGATGGCTCGGAAGCGCCCGAGGGAGGACGAAGCGGAGCCGCCCTTGTCCCTGGAGGCGCTCCTGGTTTCGAGCCCTCTTTAGACCCCATTATTATTCGTACTATTATTGGTAGTATTATTAGTAGTATTATTAGTAGTATAATTAGTAGTATTATTAGTAGTATTATTCGTGCTATTATTACTATTGTTACCATTATGACTCTTATTATAACTACTAGATAGTTCTTCTATTGTTTAGGGCTCTGTTTAAGGTTAGCCCTAACCCGCCAGGTACCTACTATGTAGGGCCTTAGGGGCTCTAGTACCCTATATAGGTACCCGGGGGGTTAGGAGATGCATCCGCGCATCAAACAAGGGGTTGCTTGTCACGCAACAAACTGAGACCCAAGCCAGGGCTCGACGAGACTGTCTTTGTCTTTGCAGGTGGAAGAGTGCGGGAACCTGACGCCGAAGGTGCACGAGTGGAGGCGGCCAGAAGTCCGGGCGAAGTGCATGCTCTTCCGTGTCGGAAGCCCGGGCCCCCTGCAGGTGGGCAGATTCCGACCAGTTCGACTCTCACCGACTGCGCGTCGTTCCAGACGTGCTTCGGCCGCTGTTTATAAAGGGGATGGGGGGGGTCCGAGCCGGCAGAGTGCAAGTCTCAACATGGCACGTTGCGGAGCCCTCGCCACGATCAGCGTAGTCTCTGCTTCTGCCTTCGCAAGGTCCAGCTTCTGAAGACACTCAGGACCAGGGTTCTCCCGCATGTCCGTTGGTAACCAGTACCATTGGCGATTACGGTGTGAGGCTTCGGGTTGGGGAGCACCGGATAGAAAAAAAAGGCACTAAGTCAGGACTTTGCTTGGCTTCTCTTTCAGGACTTAACCCCGTCGTCGGGCTTCACTATAGGGTTTATAGGGTTCAGGAGTCCTCCGGTGTGCTGACTTTCTCTTTGGGGGGCTTCGGTGCCCCAGGGTTCCGGTCCAGACCCTTCGAGAGGAAGGGCCAAGCTTCACGACTACAGCGGCCACGGCAGGCTCTCGCACTCTGTGGGCCCGGGAGCCTAGCAGTGGGACCTTACCAGGACCCTCCAAGTACCCTCAAATAGGGGTAAAGGGTCTCAAAGTAAGGGTATTTAGGGTCTAATAGAGGGTAGATGGAGGGTCTAGGTACAAAACCAGGCGGAAAGACTTATCTTCCCGGCTTGTGAGATTTCGTTTCTGGACTCGGTAGGGTGCGTATTGCCACACGGAGCTTCGGGCAAGGCCATGTCACCATACGATACGACATCGGGCGTTACGTCATCATAGATCCGGGCTTACCCTTTCCTGTAGTACAGCCTCGCAGCATATGCAACATCGAGCTCAATGGACGACACGATGCGGGAAACCAAATTCAGGCACTCAGTTTTCATCACCTTAACGAGGAAATCATTTCATTTAAGTCTGCAGTTAACTCCAGAACACCTACGAAAACCATACAAACCTTGCACTTGAAGGAGGTTCCTGAACTAAACTCAAACCAACTCATACCCTAGAGAGAGAGAGATTTAAGACGTCCCTTTTTGCGCCCGGGCCTTAAAAAACCCCAAATGCACCCTAGAGACCAGGCCCTAAAACCCCTTAGGGGCGCGTTTTAAAACTCGCCGCAGGAACGCCCCGAGGCCCAAACAAAGGGGCAAAACAAACCCCAAGCCGAAGCCCCCAAAAATTAGGAACATTGTCTCAGGTCCGGCTCGGAGGCCTTGGCAGCCGTCAAGGAAATCAGCAAGATGAGGGGAGGGCCTGACATGGGTTTGGGATCCGTGAGCAATCGAGTTTCCGAGAGTGCGTGTCCTGCTTCGAGATTGTGTGTGGCTCAAAGCCACCCATCCCAGCTTGCTCGCGGCCTATTGCGACAAGCATGGACCACCACCATCACCATGATCATGGCACCCCTGACGTCGGTGACACTCCCAGCGACGCTTTCTGCGCAGGTTCTGGCCAGGTGATGATGTCCGGCTTTCAGCTGGGCGTTGGCAGCACCCAGCCGTGCGTGCTTTTTCTGTTCCCAGGATGGGTTCTCGACAACGAGGCCCGATATTTTGCAGGCTGCTTCGGCGCCTTCATCATTCCCGCGGCGATCGTCGTCTTGCAGACGGCCCGTGACGTGGTGGTGGAAAAGGCAGCCGCAAAGGAGAAGGGGGCGGGTCTCCTCTATGATGCCTTCGCCGCATTCCTGTTCGGCCTTCAGATGTGCCTGGCGTACTCGGTTATGCTTTTGATCATGTTGTACGAGGCAGTTTTCTTCTGGTGCATCATCGCAGGCTTCGTGACTTCCTTCTTCATACTGCGCCGCATCAAGCGCCGTAGCCCGGGAACCGAGAAGTCGAGCCTTGATGGTACGCCTTGCTGCTCACCGCCGGAAGCCAGCCAACCCTAAACCAGGAGGACGAGATCCGCTCCTGGTCCTCTTGTAGCCTGCGGCCCACGGCCGTGTTTGCTGTCCCGCTGCAGCCCAGAAGTGTAATTAACTTTTGACTTGCAAGTCGGCTGGGCCCTGCCTTCCCGGCTACACTGGTCGCCGCTGAAGCGCGGACAAAACGAGCGTCAAGTCCGGTCTCAGGGGGTGAAGCTCGCCAAAACCCAGACAAAAGAGCAAGAACCCTACGAACCGCAACAAGCGTGAGGATGGCTGCAGCTTGCACCGCCTCTCCTTCGAGCTCTCCACACCGGAGCTGCAGGAACGGGGAGCTCCGGGAGCTCGTGTTCGTGCTTCGGGGAAACTTCGAGGGGCCTCGTGTCAGAGGTGCCAAAGCCGTCGGCTAAAGCATCGGAGCGAGTTCAAACTTGGCTCAAGAGGCTCATGAGGCCGGAACATGAAGGGGCCGAAACATCTGACAGGAGGAGCACGGGAACTCCGAGTGGCCCAGCTGAAGTCACAGCGAGGCAGTTCGAGTGCTCCTTTGCCTCCGTCGCCCTTTTCCAGGCACCTGGATCCGAGCAGCGCATTGGTCGCTCGCTCAAGCCCAAGCCGCTTGACGCTCGGCTGCCCCGAGCGCCGCCCCTTTCGGGGCTCGTAGCGGGAAGGGGGGTCACCTGTGTCTTT